AAATAAAGCTCAGCCATATCATTGTCCGTGTATGGGTCGACCTCGAAGCCAAGAACCCTAGATTCTTGCATGTGTTGGAACCTAACTTTCATTGCTGGATTGATGGTTTTTTGGATGATTTGTTCAGCATCATGGCACACCAAGTCGAGGGCTTCTTGACATGCCTTAGGTAGGTTGTACAAGTCTTTGGCAGAATGTTTCTTATGAAATTCGCACATGTACTCCAAGGATTCACTGAGGAATGGAGGATGTAGGTTCCGCCGGATCTTTATTAATGGCTCTTGCAGGGGTAATGAGGGAAGCTTGCTTTCGGTTTTTTTCCTTAAATGCTTAAAACGAGCTTTCATCTCTCCGGGTCGAAAAAGGAGTTTGATGCATTTCTTGGACCCTTTAATGGTCGTTTCAAAGTCGTGATCAACTGCCTTTTCCTCTTGAAGTAATTCGGTTATGATGGTTGGGGTTCGTCTGTCATCTTCCCTTCCTGTTGCCTTTTTCGGCTGCCATTTGTTGGAAGTATGCCCATAAAGCCACTCATTTGATGTAATAGCTTTTTGGAATACTTAATGTATTAAACTTTTATATGTTTAATGAAGGGCAAAGCTTATTGTTAATCACTATTTATTGTATCATGTGTTTAAGTAATAAGGGAATCCAAGGGATGTATTTGTTCTAAGAGACAAGTGATCTAAGTGAGTTAGATTATCGAGACCATTCTCTTATGTTCATTCCTAAAACGTTCCTAGCCATAGGATTGCCAATTGGGTATTGACAATCCGCTAAGGTTAGTATGTGTTATGTCGACTTAAGCGTGAATATGACTAGTCTCAAGTCATTTGGTGTTGGACACTAAGACAAACACATAGGTGCTCGAAAGAGTAATCGAGTACACTGAACAACGATCAAAAGAGAGTTCGAACATACATGTCATGTAAGAACTCAAAAGTTGCAATATGCAAAGTAGTCCTTTGAGCTGAGGCATCATAGATGTCTAATGGGTAGGTCCTTGATCTTTGATCATGTCAACGGTATTCCCTCGGAGTGTCCACGGCATTGTTGGGGTCAAGTTATCTAGTCATGTAGGCATATGAATGCACAACAAGGGATCTCTAACCTTCCATGGTGGAAGGAGTATACTCTAAGATATGATTCTAAAGTCTTTGGCCAAAGCATATGAATATGACTTAGGAAGTTTGTTCCAAATCATATTCAAGGGAATCATATAGATATGTATCACATTGGATAGTAGACATGAAACAAACTATCATTCAAACAATGTGATTAAGAGTATTGTATTAGAGAAGGACCGTATTGCATTGTAGTTGTAACTGGATAGGTTCTCCAACCAATTCTACTTAGCTTGGGTAACCATGACATACTGCTAGGTGTCACTCATGGTTTGTGGAAGCCCTAATGATTAGGAAACACTAATCATAAAAGGGAGAATTGAAATGTGGTTTCAATTCATAATCGATCGTTAAGAGTAACAATCGCCCACTACCTCGCTAATTGGAACCTAATGGATCGTACACCGAGTAAGGGTGATAGTGAAGAAATTAAATGAAATGGATATGCAATTAAATGGTTTAATTGAAGAATGGTCAAGATTGATTAATTAGTTAATTAATTTTACGAAAGGTTCGTATTGGGCTTTTAAGTTGGTTTTGGGTTTCGGGGCCCAAAAGTGTTTTGGTCCATAAGGCGCATTATGTTTAAGTTGTATGACAACTAAAACAAAATGGGCAATAAGCCCAATCACAACATATAGGCCGGCCATGGTGAGGAGATGGTGAAAGTTTGCTTAATTGCAAGTTTGCCACTCACCAAAGAAAAGTGTTATAAAAGCAACTTTATAGCTATTTTCTAATTAGGGTTTTCTTTGAGGCAAAGAGGTGAAACATTTTCTCTCTTTCTCTCTACAAAGAGGCCGGCCACTTAGGGAGATTAATCTAGCAATCTCTTCTTCCCTAAGTCATCCATTTCATCTTCACACTTAACCCTTGGTGTGGAGACTTAGAGACACCAAACTTTTGGTGTTTTGGAGATCATTTCCTTACATCCACAAAGTCTAAAGGAGCACAAAGGAGAAGGAAATCACAAGCAATATCCAAGGAGCTAGGAGGTGACTTGAAGGCCCTCCACTTGGGTGAATCCCTTGTGTAAACAAGGATGAGCTTCAAGGGTAAGAAACTCTAAATCTTTACTTCTCTTTAATGTTGTTAAAGAGTTTATTGGTTCACCATATACTAGGCTTTGAAAGTCATGGGTTTTATGAATTGTTTTTTAATGCATGCCTACTTTAAAGTGTTAATAGTTTGCATATGTATTCAAATGTTCTTACTTGTTCTTAGCTAGGACTAAATTTTTCCTTCACCATTTAGTAGTCGGAATAGCCTGTGCTGCCTGTTGTCAAGCCATGCAATCTATTTGCTGGTGTCGACGTTTTTGAGATTTGGATAGTGCTGTATACATACTAGTGGGAGAATTGTAACTATACCAACATTGGTCGCGTGGCTTAGGCAGCTTGAAGGTTTTTTTATTCACCGATGAACTCGAGCTGCTGGAATTACATGAGTAATAATCCTCGTTATAAAGCAATGCATCAAAATCAAGACGTCGTCTGGCCGAGGTAGGACCATCTGTCTGTTCTTGAGGGCCGAGCCTATCAAACACTTTCTGGCACTGGCCTCCGCCAAGTTCCTTCGGTTGCCGTGGTGTTGGTCTCTCATTTGGTTAAGTTAATACGACGTGTACTCTACAATTGCTGCACAAAACCATCAGCTCGTCAATTTGTTCTTCACTGGAATTTAACATAGATTCGACTACGGCCGGTCCCGAAAACTCAGTGGGTGGCTTACTGGAAAATAGGTCAATCTTAAGTCGCGGCCAAGAGTTTTTCTTTGGGACATGTTGTACTGGGACAAACTCGGCCTTCCCTTTCCCTTTGCTCTTGGGCAAATGGGTGTCTACCATTCGTTTTTCGAGAAACTTTAGCTTGCCCTTGTCGATCCAGCTTTGAATATCATCTCGGAATATGACATAGTTGTTCGTGGTATGCTTAGTCAAGTTATGGTACTTGCAATACGTCTTCCCTTTAAGCTCTTCGGCCTTAAGAATGTTATGTCCTGGCCGAAGTTTGATAGTCTTTGCTAACAACAGTTGATCGAAAATTACCTCGGCCTTTGTGATATTAAAAGTGTAAACTTTTGATGTTTCACCGTCGCCTTAGTGGCCGAGCGGGCTTTGGCATCTTGATTTGAGTCAATGCCTTGTAAACATATGATTTGAGTCAATGCCTTGTAAACATATGGTTTATCTATTACTATCTCGGCTGCATCCACACTAACTTATTGGGAATCTTTGCCTTCGGCCTATGCGTAGTTGACCGTGGAATGTTTGTAAATCGTTCCTCGGGAAGGGGACTTTAAGATCTTTTCCTCTCGGAGCAAATAATCATATTGCTCGACATGTTGGGCTAATTCATACATATCTCGAAAGTTTGCCCCCAGGAATTTCTTTTTGTCTCCACGTCGAGCCCATTCAGAGCAAGCCTAACAAAATCAACTTCGGGAAGAGGTACTCGGCACCAATTTCTAGCCAATTTAAACCTTGTAAGATAGTCCATTGGTGACTCGTTAGATGCTTGAGCCATCCTAGCCAATGAAGAAACTGACATTTCCACCCCCGACTGATAGAACTGTTCGTGAAACTTCTCGACCAGCTCTTCCCAACTTTGGATGGAATTAGGTGGGAGGTTGATATACCATGCGAATGCTGAGCCTATCAACGAAAAGTTGAACAATTGTAGTTTATGGAAATCACTATTGACATCTCCGCATTGCGCCGTGAATTAGGCTACATGTTCTAACGATGATAAGGATGACTCTCTAGCAAAAAAGGTTGAAATCTGGAATCTTGAAGCCTTTAGGATATTCAAACTTTTCCACATAATATCATAAGCAATTATATAAAAATGACATATTCATGCTAAGGCTCAAGGCATCGCCCTGACTAATGGAAATTAGTTATGAACCACCATAAATCAACTCCGATTTGGTCCTAAAAGGTCTCTTTTTAAAGGTTGAGACATTCCTAACACATCCTCAGAAGGAATCTTCCTTAAAATATGCCATCTTGACCTCCAAAACACCCAAAACGTCCAAAAACATCAATATAGGAAAGATGCATGTTGGTCAAATGGCTGAGTAGAAAAATCTGAAATTTTGACACAATCATCTTGAAAGACTCACGAATATCCTCCAATTGGAATCACTCCAAAATTCATCCATTTGATCACTTTTTCCTCTAGAGGAAGTCGAACGTCCTACATTGAAAATAGATAACAAATTATCAAAATTCTATCAAAATAACCAATAAATTATAACTAAAATTAGGGTAAAATATATGGTATAATATGAACTCATCAAATACCTCCAAACTTAGCTTTTTGCTTGTCCTCAAGCAAAACAAAACTAAAAAACAAAGATAAAAACTAACAAACTAGACACTTAAACAAAAATTAACTAAGACAAAATTTTCACCTTCATGTTGACAGCCATAGAAAACATTAAAAATCAGAACATCTTTTCAAAAGTTCAAACTAATCCCACTATAGAGTCTAACCATTTAGAATCAATTAGAAAAGAATTCATGAACTTCCCTTTGTGTTAAATGAACCAATATAGTTAATGAGACTCGACTAAAATCCCTACCAGTTCCCTTACGCTATCGATCCAACCTATGTAATGAGCTTTTGGTCAATTACTTCCAAACCACAAAGGCTTTATGGCGTTAGGCATAGAACACTCCTAAAAACTTATTAAGTCGAGCTGAAAAGGGTACGAAACCAACTAATCATTTGGCAAAAATTTGTCAGGTGCTGGGATCGAACTCGTGACCTGGGGGCAGGAATAGGAATGCCGAAAGCCTCCGCCCACTGACTAGCATTGGGCTATAAAAACCAAGTTTCAGCCCCGTTACCTTCATTTCCAAACCTAGCCGTTTTTCTTGCTAAACTCTCTCTAACCTCGAGCCCGACCGAGAGGGCTCTCTCCTTTTCTCTCAAACCTAAAATCAAAACCGAAACAACTAGCCCTCATCATTTCTACTCCTCGCGATGTCTTCTCAGCCAAACCCAGAAGCACCCCTTAAACGCACAGCACCGAGTTCCATTGAGTCCACTACGCTTGCAAACGGAGTTGCTGGCATACTGAAAATTTTATAGTCCAAAAGGTAAACCCTCATCCGAATTTCTTTGATGTTAATCTGCACTGCTCAGTTGGAGGGAAAAATAATACATGCATGCTCTGATCTGTGCGCAGGAGAACTCGCAGAGTCCACGATTTTCAAATCCCAAAGGAAGGTAATAGCCGACAACCGCCGAACTTGTATGTAAAAAAATTATTTTATTAAAATGTGAGAGAGAGTGAGTGAAAGAGGGTCCAGCGATATAGAGGTCATCACAGCAACCCCACTGTAAGCATTTCATAATTCAGACTCCAGTTCACATTCCTTTTAAATTTCTGCACTTTAATGTTGATCTTGAATGCTAAGCTGTGAGTAGATGAATGCTGCTGAGTGCATGATTCAGTCGATTCCCGTATTTGATTCAAATTCAACCACAAAATTAAAATTGCACTAGAATAAATTCCAAATAAAATACTTATTAACTAAAAAAAATTCTGTTTTTGTGTTTTTCAATTTTTTGAATTTTTTAAATCTTTTTATTTTTGTGAAAAAGAATACAAGGAAGAAAATAAAATAAACGCAAATAAGAAGAAAAGAGTTAGAAAAATTGGGTTACTTCTCAATTAGCGCTTTAGTTAACTTCTATAGTTAGATAGATTTGAAAGAATCTGGTGATCACGTGATTTGTTCTTTTAGAGTCAACCATTCCTTGGCAGCATCGGAGGCTAATAGTAGATACGGAGTGCGGTGGTTATCAATTGTGCATCTGAATTCATTTGCTGAAGCCTTGATGTCCACCTTTCCATGTGAATGAATTTTTGTAAGCAAATAGTCCTTAAGATTCCATGATTGGTTATTTCTATGTACAACTCATTTGATTCCAACAATTTAGAGAGTTTATCCTCCACCAAAAGCTCTTGTGGCACATTAGACTGCTCAAAATAGTCCTTAAGATGCTTTTTCAAACTTGAAGTGTAGAACTCTGAACAGGGATTGTTCCAATTCCTTTTTGAGTCGTTTCTCATATTGATATGTTCTTGAACAAACCCTGGAAAATGTTACCCCTCAAGACATTGCAAAATATCATGGGTCTTCAAACAACAAAGTGCACAAATTGTAGATTTAAATTCATAAAAATCCCATTATGCAAAGTTGACCTATAAGGGCGGTTTGAATCCAGGAGGAGGAACAAATTCCATTGTTGCACAAATTGTAACCTAAAAAACAATATAAAATCAAGTAAATAAAAAGTTATGTACAAAAATAATTAACTAAGAATATGATATACACATTATTTAAAACAATCCTCGGCAACGGCGCCAATTTCTTTATAGGAATTTTTACCACCTGCAAAAGTAGGGATAAAAATACTTAAAAATACTTGCAAGGGTACAATGTTATTGCAGTATAGTAGTTCAAGCAAAGTCGTTTTCACATGAATTGATTGAATAATTTGTATTTAAACTAATTCTTAATTAACTATTTAAAACAAAGTTTCGAAAATCTTGATTTTATGACCTAGAATATTAAAAACGAATTTTAAATTAAAACGATTAAAGAAAAGCAATTAAAGAAACCAATTTGAAGGGGAACAATCTTAGAAAATAATGATAAAACAACACTAGGATTTCGTTATCACCTTAACAATCTTATGTAGTTTTACCAATTACTTATAAATTACACATGAAACTTTGAAGGTTAGGTTTTCCTTATGCATATTCTACTTGTGGCATTCAAGCTATAATGTATATCAAACATGCAATCCGTTTGTGGTATTCAAATCAAACATAAACATGCATGACTTATTACGCTTGGTAAAAACCCTTTGAAAAACCATGCAATCCCTAAGATGTGGCATTCGCCCTAGGTGAACTTACAACTATCAATCACAAGAAGCAATACTCAATCCTCCGGTGGCATTCCGACCGAGTTACATCTAATTACTTATCTAAACATCCTAATGGTAGCTAAGCATTAAGATATATAGATAGTTAAAACACAGTGATTAATAATTCAAACTATGCATACATAATATCATAAGCAATTAAATAAAAACTAGGTATTCATGCTAAGGCTCAAGGCATCGCCCTAGCAAATTAGATATTCATGCTAAGGCTCAAGGCATCGCCCTAGCAAAAGGATAGCATACACCTTGAAATACAAATCGTCAAAGCCTAACTAAGTTCTCCAAATTGATGCCTTTTTTCCCTAATGGCTAAAAAGCCTTATTTATACTACTACAAAATAAAATCCTACCTAGAAAAGGTCTTCTAAAAACTTGGAAACGTAATAGAATAAGATAATTAGGAAATAAAAGGTTTCATATTTGAACTGAAATTTAGATTTCTCAGAAAATCAGACTTTTGACCCATCAAATCAACTCCGATTTGGTCCCAAAAAGTCTCTTTTTAAAGATTGAAACGTCCCTAACAAATCCTCAGAAGGAATCTTCTTCAAAATATGCTATCTTGACCTCCAAAATACCCAAAATGTTCAGAAATGTCAATCGGGCAAAGCTGCGCACTGGGTCTTTTGTTCTATGCCACGATCAAATGGCGTAGTAGAAAAATCTGAAATTTTGATACAATCATCTTGAAAGACTGACGAATATCCTCCAATTGGAATCACTCTAAAATTCATCCGTTTGATCACTTTTTTCTCCAGAGGAAGTCAAACGTCCTACATTAAAAATACATAACAAAGTATCAGAATTCGACCAAAATAACCAATAAATTATAACTAAGATTAAGGTAAAATATAAGGAAAATTAATGAAAAGAGCTTGAAAACTTTGAGTTTTAACTATAAGGACCAAATAAAGGGTACAGTGAATAGTACCAAAATTGACTTTTTAGTGTAAAAATGTGGTTTTTCGTTAATGTGAACAGTACTGAGAGCTTTTCATTAAAGTTCCCTGAAATATATGGTATAATATAGATGCATCAGCTACTACAATTTTTTTTATTGTCCTAGCTCACCCAACTAATGGAAAGTTTGAATCATAAGTTTTCCCTTAGAGAACATAAAACAATAAAAGTATTTTAAATACTTAAAAACTGATCTTCAACCAACACTAAAAGTTTATATTATTAAATTAAAAACTTCATTGTCATTACTGCCATACACGGCTCTTAGTAGATTGTAGTCTTTCACCACTCGTGCACTCACTCATGGCTCATATGAAAGTTGCTTGTCAATTTCATACAGAGTTACAAATCAGATTAGATATTTTCTAAGTTTTAAAAACAGTATCCGACGTGTATAGGTTATGTTAGATTCGATGTTAGATTATCTACCGACGGAGTTTGAAACTACGCCGTCATGCAAGGGCTTAACACCTTTTCACCACTGTTGTAAGGGACCACTTGCAGTCTTTATTCTTTTTACCTGTTAAGTTGTTATGAACAAGATTGATGATGTATGTTTTCTTTAATTCTTTCTATTGCAAGTTACAACCTTAAATGTTTTCTTTTGTTAAATTTAGTTAAAAATTCATTTATACAGAGCTATAAATTTCTTGTTTCAAATTATTACTTTAGGTTCAGTATTATATAATTTTATGTAGGCAACAGAAAAGAGCATTTGATTTCGTAGTAATAATTTTTAGCTTAGTCACACACCGAATAATTCCTGGCTTCGTCATTGTACACATCAACAAGTATTGGTGTTGCATATACATATGACTACACTATTATTTATTTATTGGAATATTGGAATCTATCCATGAGAAAAGTGGTTACAATCAAGGAGTTACCGGAGGCCTTAATTGGTCAAACTAATCAACATGACCAAGATCAAAGAACATGGCCTTAATTAGTCAAAAATCATCAAAGGATAAAAACCTAAATACTCCGAACATTAAAAAGGTTTTGTCACTTGATATCACTACTACATAAAACATTTTTTACGACGAAACAAATATCATCGTGTAAATCAGAATTTTGCCGCGTAAAATGATAAACAATGAAAACTCCATCGATCAAGGCTCGTAAAGAAAAGTATTGCATGACGAATAAAAAAACGACGTTGCGCAAAATTGTTTGCGCGAGGAAAACTAAGTTTGTCTCGTAAAATGTACAGGGACAAAGTCCAATTGTCACACATACCTATAGGTGCAACGAAATAAAACTCAGCACATGAAGTTTAAAGGGACAAAGATGTTTGTGGCGCAAGAAAGAGCGAAGAAGGAGTCTTTTGTCACCTATAGTTTTATGGGACAAAGCTCTCCTTATCACAAGACTGTACTTTATCGTCACGTTTGTTAATAGGACGACAAATTATATCGTCGCACAAACCATTATTAATTTAAAAAAAAAAATTATTTTGTTTATGTTTGGTTAAATTGATTTAGGAATGGTAATTGATAAGGAAGAATATTAATTAAAATTAAATATGAAAATGTACATACTGTGGAGCCAAAAATAATCAAGAAAAATATGGAGCCGACATGTGGATTTTTGGTATATAAAGACAAAATTACCCTCGAGGCACACCGGGATTTCTATGCACGAGCAGTGGGCAATCATCCCTCAATCAAGTCAAAAGTGCCCAAAATAGGTATTTACTCAAAACCCATTTCATCCATCCTCACCACATCTTCTTCACAAGGTAACCTCTAAATCATTCCTTTTTACTTATATTAATTAGCTAATTAATTTATTTATTACTCAATTAATTTATTAATTAGCTAACAAATCATGATTCTTGTGACAGCCCGTTCCTGATTTTAAGAGTTTTTAAAGTTTTAATAAAGGATTTTACAAAATGCCCTTTGAGGCACGCGCATTATTCGAGGTTAGTCATTGTGTTGTGCCATCTAAGATTTGTTTGCTTGTCATATCCTCGTAGTACTCGTCGCTACGGAAGCGTGGGCGCAGACGTTTCGTGATTTGGAGTTATAACAAAAAAGATTTTAAAGTATGAAGTTTGAGCATTTTATGAATTTTATTATAAAAATTTGGTGTGCCATTTGGATGGCCTAGATTAAAGGAAATCTGAAATGGATGGATCGGATGTAAGAGAAGGAAAATAAAAATAAAAAGATGAAGGAAGGTTTTGTGTGTGTGTGTGTGTGCGCGCGCGCGTGACTGGTGGAGAAAAGAAGAAAGAGGATTGAGCAAAACTACCCAACGAGAAGGAAGAAGAAGACAACTCCGGGAGAGTTTCGGGAGAGAAGCTGGGCAAATGGGGAGAAGAGAAAGAAGTTTCTGGCGAATCAGAGAAGGGGAAAGGAGGAAAGGAGAGAGGGCAAGAAGTGGAAGAAGAAGAACATAAATGGGTTTTCAACTCATGACCCGCGCGACCGGTGGGTTTTCCACCCGTTTCTGTCGAAATTTCTTCATTTTTCTGGT